TTTGTAACACACACCGAAACTCTCAGTATTGGTGGTAGTTGTTTGTAACACACACCGAATCTCTAAGTCTTGGTGGTAGTTGTTTGTATATAAATACAGTGTAAGAGTTGATACATTTTGGTATATAAATGTGGCAGTGTAAGAGTTGATACATTTTGGTATATAAATGTGGCAGAGTTGATACATGAAATGGCTGAAATGTATCGTTTTATTGTTCAAGAGTATTAGATGGCTGAAATGTATCGTTTTATTGTTCAAGAGTATTAGATGGCTGAAATGTATCGTTTTATTGTTCAAGAATATTAGATGGCTGAAATGTATCGTTTTATTGTTCAAGAATATTAGATGGCTGAAATGTATCGTTTTATTGTTCAAGAATATTAGATGGCTGAAATGTATCGTTTTATCGTTCAAGAATATTAGATGGCTGAAAGGTATCGTTTTATTGTTCAAGAATATTAGATAGCTGAAAGGTATCGTTTTATCGTTCAAGAATATTAGATGGCTGAAAGGTATCGTTTTATTGTTCAAGAATATTAGATGGCTGAAATGTATCGTTTTATTGTTCAAGAATATTAGATGGCTGAAATGTATCGTTTTATCGTTCAAGAATATTAGATGGCTGAAAGGTATCGTTTTATCGTTCAAGAATATTAGATGGCTGAAAGGTATCGTTTTATTGTTCAAGAACATTAGATAGCGTAATTTGGAAATAGTTTTCTAAAAACGATAACAAGACGATTTGATCCTATGTTTAATATTCATAAAATATACAGTTTTTGTTTATTAGTTTCTTTTATAACTATAGTATGCGCAGTTTTACCATGGCTGCCTTTTTTTAACTTGTAGTTACATATCAACTGTATAGTTTCCTTACCATGACCGCCTTTTCTTTTTAAACTGTAATACACGACTTAGTTCAGTTGTTAAACCCTGGCCATCTTTCCTCATAAAACTGTAATACACGACTTAGTTCAGTTGTTAAACCCTGACCATCTTTCCTCATAAAACTGTAATACA